AGCATTATTGTTGCAAAAGCAAATACATTTCTGCAACAGTTGTCTCTTTCCACCTGTGTAGTCTTGACTGTGGTGATAAGATCGTATTTGCCATGGTGTACTGAAAATACTTATTACTTTCCCTGGCAATAATTTCCATCAGTGGCTGGTCAAAGAATAATTCAAAGAATTCCAGTTCATTGGCCGTGGTTCCAAGGGGACAGGTAGGTAGAATTCCATTTGAGAGTCATCAAAGTGGTGAGCTTGGGAACAAAATTGGGATTTTGCTGCCAATCCCACATACGGTTTTGTGGTGGATACTGGACATCATAGGCTGGTTGTACAGGTGGTTGTGGCTGACGCTCCGCTTTGTCCTTGAACTGACGAGTCAGCAGCGTGGGTCCCCGCGTGGCACGGTGAGTCACGCATGGCGGTGCCACTACCACCACCAGCACCACTAACACCATCCACTGATGCCTGTGGCCCATCCATGCCAAGTGTAGCCACATCATCCTCACTATCACTACCTAAAACAGGTGTAGGGCCACGGGATGTACTCCGTCCCCTGGGCACAGCATAGGGTACACTACCCGAGCGCATGCGGCGGCGAACATACCGACGCTTCACTGGTGAATATGATTCCTCACTATCACTACTCGAATGATCGTCGAGCGCAATAAAATCACAATCCACGTCAGAATCATCGTCATTACTGAAGTCAGAGGCCTGGCCACGCGAAAATATTAGTTTTCTCTTACGTTTAGGAACACCCGACCGTGAGTCACGAGTGCCCACACCAGAGGTAGAAGGTCGAGGATCGTCGGGGTTTTCTGCACTATTATCGATATCCTGGTCATTATTTTCGGTCACTAACTTATCAAAGCCGTAGAATTCATCTTCATTTGCACTTCCATCAGTGTCAGAACTATCAGACAGGAAGAGGAGAGTCCCAATTTTCCGGGGAGTGAGAGTTGACTTGCGACGAGGCATGGTGAACAAGGGTGACTGAGCCGGCGTTCCCACAATGCTATGCAGGCGCCTAGATTTTTTGTTTATGGCGCACACCCACGGCGCAGACCCATTCTCTCACATGTAGGTCTATGAGCGCTTTCACGCTAAATTTGACGCCGTTAGAATTTTGGCATAGATCTACGGTTTGGACACTCACCGAAAAGCCGTAGATCTACGGGACGGACCCTGAAAGGGTTAAAGAGGAGAGGTAGACAGAAAGGGTGGGGATAGGTGTTCAGAAAACTTGGGATTATTGAAGAACATCATTATTAAATACTACAGAGTATATGATGGATAATTGTTGATACCTGTTTTTTAATTTTGGTGCCAAATTTCTGACAATGCTGCATTGGGGACAAAAAGAAAAAACTGGCTTATCCTAAAAATGTATGTTTCCAGTTGGCATGTTTATTTTGTGTCCAAAATTGGGGTATAAAACTCGCCTAGTAGGAGGTAAGTGGAGAAAGGGTGGCAGGAAATGTAAGAGAGGGACAGGTGTTTCCTGACCTGTTTATTATGAGCAAAACTAAATAGTAAACATACCAGGGTCATACAGCACGGTCCTGGCTTGTTGCTAGTTTTCTTGCCTTTTTCACTCTCCACTTTGAGGATGGACCAAAACATAGTCTAATACTTCCTCACCAAATTGAAGGTTAGTTGTGAATTGCTAAAGCAATTGTGACTCATTAAGAATTTATCTTTACTTTTTGGGGAAGATGTTTTCAGACTACTATAATGCATTTGATGGCAACCTTAAAATTTACTGTATGACTATAATTTATTTTCAGGCATGACAGGTGCTGTTATGATGTTAGCATTTGTGGTGGATGTAGTAGTATGGTACTTGGCAAAATCTGTCTCTTTTAATGACGAAGATGAGAATCTAGAGGAGGAAACGCCAATGAACCCAAAATCTGTTTCCCCCTCTTCGTCCACACCCATAGCAGTTGATCAAACGCCAACAACGTCCACGCCTCAAGAAAGTATTCCCATGCTCTCTCCTAGCGAAGGAGATCCTTCAATCAGTCAAGAAAGCCAATCGAGTGTGTGAAAATAGAAATGTTAGATATATGGTTTGTATTTGTCATGTAAATATTCCTACCACCATTGTATATCTACACTTTTTGTATTGTTAATCTGGGTCTGAAAATTCATTTAATCACTCATTCCATGCCAATACTGTGCCACAGATATCTGGGGTTGTACTTTGGGTTTATAACCAAGCAGGAGTAAATTTTGAGTATTTTAGCAGTCATTGTAATTCATGTATCTAGTTGACTGCTTTGATAGTAGACTAGTCTTCAGTTTTATAACATTACTTGTGTATTGGCTGTATCCAAAGCCCAGTGTTTGGTCAGGCTTGAGCAGCTTTTTGTTCCATGTATAGTACATTAATAATTGACGAGTAGAGGGACTTGTCATGATCTCACACGATCAGCAAGCTGACACACATTTGCCTTAAATTCTGTTGGACAGTGTAACAATAGAACACAGTCTATTAGACATAATGGATAAAGATTATGTATAAATTTTAAGTGCAAATTTGGTTGGGAAATTTGTGCATTATTAATTAAAATGTTTAAGGCTATTTTATACCCGCTCTACAGCCACTGAGAATTTGGAGGAGTTAATGAATCTACAGTTGATTATACTACTTTAACTGTACTTACTATTTAAAAACTGTTCGTGTGACCAGTGCTTTCATAAATAATTAAAGATGTCTTGACAAAATGTGACTTATTCCAATGCTAATAGCGTGCATTGCTTGTTTGTGATATTTGTTCATCTTTTTACTTTGGTGCGTTTTAAGCAAATGTATTATTTTTGTAAATCTATTTTTTTGTAGACAATTTAGCATTTGCAGTTATAATGATCACTTCATTTCCCCAAGATACATTAGTTTCAATAGTAGGTTAACTGTATATTTCTTACAAGAAAAAGCCCATAATTATGCATAGCATTTATGTTACTGGAGGACAATTCCTAAGTCTACTAATGCCTTAGAATATTTTGAATATCTTAATATCAATTATTTACTCTGCAGTACAACCTCGCAACAACTGAAACCTATCGACCAACTTCAAGTACTGTAGTTTCAAGTAATTGTAAATATACTGAATTTGTACATGTTGTATAAAAACCTACAATATTTAATATTGCTCAAGAAATGAAGTAGATTATAAGGAATGCAGTACAGTATAAGAATTGCTAGTCTTTGGGGTGGGTGGGAGGGAGGGGGGGGGGGCATTCTTCTGTTCCTATTCCATCTTTCTAACCTCCTTGTCAATATGTTTCACAGTAGCATATATATAAGAAATTATTATAATAATCAAAAACCTCTAATATATAAAAAAGTTAATAAAATGAATGCATTATGCTAACAGTTCCTTTTATTTTTGTATAAAGTTGAAAGGGTTCAGCAGTCCATACTATTCATAAAAGGAAATAATTACTGTACTATTATATTTAACCCTTTGACTGTCACAGGCCCCTTTCTCAAACTCGGTCTATGTCGCAAAATCGAAAAAAAAATTTCTTGCCAAAATGTTAGGGTTTTACAGGGTGTTTTAAGCCTAAAAAAATTTTTTTGCCACGAGTACTTACCGAGATATAAAGTTGGCAGAAAATGAGCGGCGTATGGCAACAGCGGCAAATGCTGTCCACCCGATATTCTTTTATTTACTCCAATTCGAAGGTTTCTTGTATTTTCCAATATTTTTCTTTTCTAAGTAACTTATGTGGCCTGTGAGACCAAAGTAAGGTGCATTGTTCACAACACAATAACTGAACAAACATTATCACTATTAGATTGTGTATAAAACTTTACACAAACAAACAATACAAAAGATTGTTTATTACTATTGTTCCATAATATATATACATATGTACAGTCATTGAACACTTTCCTAGAACTGCTGCAGCTTGTGGAACTCTGAAACATAGGTATATGCAGAGTGGTACTTGACACTCCTCATACATAAAACGAGTGTCTCTGTGTGCGTTTTGTGGTATGTCCACATATCACTTTTCTTGAAAGCAGGAGGAGGCAGTGATCACCAGGCCTCAAATGAGATGGCATGTGTTGGTAATTTTGTGGGCATTGGTCTATTGCAGGTGACGGTACTTGACGATTATGTATCTGATGACTGATAAACAAAATTCACCATATTTTGGTTTGTTGTTGGTCCTCAACTTGTATATGTTATAATCATTTAGCATGAAAATATTATGATGGAAAAAAGTTTTATATACCACTTATAACTCTTGCGTACACAATCAGCAAACCCAATCTGCATGTCACATTTGTCCACTAAGCACATATTGAGGTTGTAGTCCATGACAGCTGTAGGTTTTAGAATGGGTTCATTGGTCTCTATTATGCCTGCCAGTGTGTGTGCCATTTCGTTTCTTTATTTTGAAACGTTTTGCCTACACAGTAGGCTTCTTCAGTCGAGTACAGAAAAGTTGATAGAAGCAGAAGAGACTTGAAGACGATGTAATCAGTCCATCACCCTTAAAGTTTTGAGGTGGTCAGTCCCTCAGTCTGGAGAAGAGCATTGTTCCGTAGTCTGAAAGTCTGTTTCAGACTACGGAACAATGCTCTTCTCCAGACTGAGGGACTGACCACCTCAAAACTTTAAGGGTGATGGACTGATTACATCGTCTTCAAGTCTCTTCTGCTTCTATCAACTTTTCTGTACTCGACTGAAGAAGCCTACTGTGTAGGCGAAACGTTTCGAAATAAAGATACCTAACGTTGCATATGTGTCTTACCTAACAACCTGTCGGTATTTTATACCATTTTAATGTTCATTTCGTTTTGGTGAACTGATGTCAAGAATGTGACATCACGTTTGTCATGCCACCGAAATGCCATGATGTCGTTGGCAGAAAAGGCCTGCACCTCACCTCTGCGAGTGCCAGCGTCGAACCTTGGCATATGCTTACGATTACCACACACGTATGTCAGGTTCACTTGCAAGAAATCACTGAGCATTGGGCTTGTCTACAAGTGATCAGTATATAATACAGTGGACCCCGCTTAACGAACACCTCCAAATGCGACCAATTATGTAAGTGTATTTATGTAAGTGCGTTTATACGTGTATGTTTGGGGTCTGAAATGGACTAATCTACTTCACAATATTCCTTATGGGAAAAAATTCGGTCAGTACTGGCACCTGAACATACTACTGGAATGAAAAAAGTTCGTTAACCGGGGGTCCACTGTATATGCCCCTTACCAAGATATGGTTTCCCATCAGTGTTTGAACCACATCACTAGAGATACCCAATAACTTCCTGGTATCTCTCAACGTATTACTGCCAGTGTACACAATGATATCCAAAAGGAGACCACTTTTGCAATCACACAGTACAAATAACTTCTTTATACCAAAGCATTTCCTCTTGCTTGGTATGTACTGCTTAAATGAGAGTCTTCCTTGAATAAAATCAGACTCGTCAATAACAAGTTTCCCTGAAGGGATAAATATACATGGAACACTTTTGTTTCAGGTACATAAACACATTTCTGATCTTACATAACCTGTCGGTTCTGTCAGGCCTTGTTGTCTGAAAAGTGTAACATACGTAACAGTATCAAAAAATGATTTACTCCTATAATGTCACTAAAACCTGGGGTGAAATCAGGCATTCTGTTGACCACTATGTGGGTGACAGTGTGCTTATACACATGTGGTATAAGCATTATTGTGGCAAAGAACAGGTACATCTCTGCCACAGTTGTGTCCTTCCACTGGTGTAGCCGTGATCTTGGTGAAAGAATTGTGTATGCCATGTGTGTACTCATAGTATGTGTTGGTTTTCTGACAATAATGCCCATCAGGGGTTCATCAAAGAATAACTGAAGCATTCTGTTCAGTGGCATTGTTCCCAAGTGTACACAATGGCCGTATTCCACTTCGTGTTTCATCAAAGTCATGGGGATTGGGAATAAAATCGTCACCTTGCTGCCAATCCCAGATGTGGTCTGCTGGTGGGTTCTGGATATTGAAACGTGGTTGTGGTTTTTTGTGGGAGTGTGGGGTTGGGTGAGGCTGGTTGTAGTTGTCCCAGAGTCAGCAGCGTCGGTAGTAGCGTGGCCCGCTGCTGGTGCCACATGACTCATGCCACCGCCAACATCACCTTCCCCATGCACATTACACATCCCCATCACTGTCGTTACTCGAGCTGCTGTCAGTAACTTTGAAATCACTATCATTATCACTTTCACTGCTCAGATCTGAGTCCTGTAAATGGGGAAATAGTTTCCTTTTTCGTCCTGGTACAGGTGAACGTGAATGAGATGTGCCAGCACCAGAGGTGGACGGTTGTGGGTCATCGGGGTTTTCATCACTAATTACGTAATCCTGGGCACTGCTTTCAGTCACACCCTCTCCAAAACCATGAAATTCACTTTCACTGGCACTTCCATCACTGTTAGAACTATCACTTGGGAACAGTAGACCTCCAATACGCCGAGGAGTGAGGTACTTCTTACCGCGAGGCATGGTGAAAATGGACTACCAAGATGGAGTTCCCACAATGCACCACTGAGTCCCAGATTTTTTTCACAGGGTGCACACCCACCACTGAGACCCATACTCTCTTATGTAGGCCTACCAGCTTTCTCCCGCTTGATTTGAAGCCGCTAGAATTTACGCATATTAATACGTCTGAAATAGTGGCACATAAGACGTATATATACGACTGAAACAGTCAAAGGGTTAAGAGTGCTAAGCCTGTACGAGTCATACAGCTCCTGGGAAATGGGATGCAATCAGGTTTGATTCAAGAAAGAGGAGGAAAAGTTTTATTTCTTGGATCCAGAGCCCTTTATCAGCTTCAAGGAAACCTCCCTCGAGGGGAATAAAAAAAAATTTAGAATTTTAATTCTTCTGTTTTTGCGAGGTAGTACTGTTTCTGACAGTTATAAGATGCCAGTGTCTTATTCCACATTAAAAAGTATTCAAAAAGGTTGTGTTTACCAAAAATTACAATTGTTAATTTTTAGGCTTTTAAACTAAAGTTGTAAAAGGATGTCAATATATTGTATATGACAACAATATTTTATAGAAAATGAAATTTTTGTATAATATGCATTTGTAATATTTCTGTATTGTGCATATGTTTAGTGTGTACAAGTTGCTTATTGTGAAAAGAAAATTCCTTGCCATGATGTGTTTCCAGCAGTTAAATGCATTGCTCTTCCTGTGTGGCATATCCCTTGCTTATTGCATCTCCCATTAGCAAACATCCTATTTATAGGCTGTTTCCACAAGTCTCTCCACCATATAATTCATGTTTTCCTTTGAAAATTTTCACTTACAATTCAGTAATGTCACTCTTTTTCTTTCTCTATTAGTAGCACACATTCTATTCTCCTGTTGATGTAGATTCACTCCATTAAATATTCCCCTCAAAAAGCATTTAGCATCTTATCTCAGTTTTTCTATTTAATTCTGTATCTTCCTCATTTTAAATGTATTTCTTAGTCTGTTCACTTATTTTGTGCTTTGTTACTTGTAATCTTTTTTTCTCTTGCATATGCATTTGGTACTATCATTCACATGTATCAGGTTAATTGAATTATTCCTTAAAGAACACTTCACTTCTAAAGAAAACTCGCATTCTTCCAAAATGTAACCAAAGAGCATTTTTCCACTTGTCTTTCAGCACTATTTCACTGTCTATTCATCCATCTTCATTGTCAGTTAAAAATCAACTTTTCTCAGCCTCTTACCATATTTTTATTTCAACATCCCCCCAACCGAACACCAAACACATCTCTATTTCACTTTCTCTTTTGGTTCCTTACAATGTTTGTTTACTCTTCATTGTTTCATGTTTTAGCTCCGAATTGTTGGCCTGCCACATCCCTATCATACTTTCTGTGTCCTTCCCAATCTTCTTCAAAGCTATAAAACACACACACAAAAAAAATGCTATCATTTATACATATTGTAAAATCTCTTCCATTTAAAATATGTATAATTTGTGCAAAAATCTTTTCACTGCTTCCAGTAGCTTTTTCCATTCCATATATTCTTTAGCACATTCCATAGCCCATTCCTGTCAGTTGTGTTGTATTATCAAGATCTATAAAACCTCAATAAATGATTGTTTTCCTAACATTTTCATCTTTCAAATTAAAGTTTCCTGAGTTTTCAGTGGAAGTTTGCATGTCAAAATTGTCACTGGAGGTTGCATAGTAAATGTGCGACAAAGTGGGAAAAGCATATTCCCAGTCTCTTTTGTAAGTTAATGTGGGAATTATGTTTAACACTTAAATGGCCCCTCTAGTGGTAAGTATTTGGAAGTATAGATATTACTGTGACAGATGAAACTTGTCAAAAATGGAGGCATCTTAAAGCCTTTAACTAAATTTAAATTTCACATTGTAAATAAACTCTTCAACAAATAATGTTCCCTTCTTTGACTATCATGCTTAATTTTAAATTTTCATATTTTCTTCTTCTTACTTTATATATTAAAATATTTATCATCACTGTAAACTCCTTCATCTAATGTGATGCCAATTTTCATTATGGGTCACCCCATGCATAGCATTTAAAAGGCATGTCCTCTCCCCATTACAATTCTTCATGACCTCCCAACTAACATTCTAAAAGCCCCCTACAATTCATTACTTTTGCAACATATAAGTACAGCACATACAATTTTCTTCAATCTTTTACTTAAATTTTCCCAGTTCTTTTCCTTCAGAAATTTTGTAGTTTTCAAATTTTTCCCTTCATTTTAGATATTAATTAGTTTAAAAACTGCTTCTTCATTTTTCCTGTATAACACCTTCCTAATTACATTCTCATTTGCTTTGCAGCCCATCTAGCCTTTTAATGTTACTCAGGTATACACTATTCTTGTTCCAAAAAAACATGATCCTTCATCACTTTTGTCTGTATTCCTACTGAAGCTTTTTCCTCCTTTAGCAAAATAAATGTAATTGTTTTTTCTATTTAAATTTGTAATAGACTTTGTTATTAGAATTGTATTCTGACTTGTGTACAATTTTATATATTAAGCTTTTTATGTTGATGAACAAAATAAATATCATATATTATATATATTTTTTTTTTTTCAACAAGTCGGTCGTCTCCCACCGAGGCAGGGTGACCCAAAAAAGAAAGAAAATCCCCAAAAAGAAAATATTTTCATCATCATTAAACACTTTCACCACACTCACACATTATCACTGCTTTTGCAAGGTGCTCAGAATACAACAGTTAGAAGCATATACGTATAAAGATACACACATATCCCTCCAAACTGCCAATATCCCAAACCCCTCCTTTAAAGTGCAGGCAATTGTACTTCCATTTCCGGGACTCAAGTCCGACTAATGAAAAAAAACCCGGTTTCCCCTGAATCCCTTCACTAAATATTACCCTGCCCCAACTCCCAACAGATCGTCAGGTCCCAAGTATCATTTGTCTCCATTCACTCCTATCT